GCTGGGCTAGGGAGAATTCTACATGGCCTCAGGCCTTACTGCGACCATTTACGTAGATTCTAGAATCTAAAGGCTCTAAGACATAAGGTCACAGACAATTCAAACAAGTATTATAAAATATCACAGAAGTGACTGTTTATAACCTTAAAATGTCTATTAGAAATAGCCTAAATCTGATCAGTAGAATTATATTTAATTCTCACAATACAAAAGACAATCCTATTTTATTTTACCAACAGTTTAAAAACTACCATTATTTACCAAAGATAACTAAAATTATGTGAACTAAAAGGCATGTGAGTTTTTATTGCTTTAATAAAATATTTGATTTAAGTACTTTTATAAGCCAATTAATTAGAACTTTTAAAATGTATTTTGTTGGTGAAATATCACATACACATTACACATATAAACATAGATATACAGACATACAGAGAAATCTTTTATAGCTGTGAAAGACTCTTCATTTGCCAGTTTCTAAATAGTTTCTCTCTACACCTTTAGATGACTAATCTCTTGATTACCTGTTCCGTTTTGATAAATAATAGATGGCCAGGCAACTCTCAATTTGTATTAACACAGACATAATTCTTAGGGTAAAAGAGGTAGAAAATTTACATCTTGAAGTCAGAGAACTTAGATCTAAACACGTTATCTGCGGAGACAAAGAAGAACACAGCTTAAAGCCTAATTCAGACAAAATTGCTAGGAAAAGTTTCTTAACAAAAGTAAGTTTGTTATGTAAACTTTAAGCCTAAAAGTTTTCAGTGGTTTAGATGCAGAGAAAAGGATGTCCTTACAAATGGAAATTTTCTTTTTTGTTTGTTTGTTTGTTGTTGTTGTTTGTTTGAGATGCAGTCTCAGTCTGTTGCCCAGGGTGGAGTTTGGTGGCAGGATCTTAGCTCACTGCAGCCTCCACCTCCCAAGTTCATGCAGTTATCCTGCCTCAGCCTCCTGAGTAGCTGGGATTACAGGCACACTACAGATATTTTACAGTCCAGGAGAGAATGGAATGATATATTTAAAGTACAAAAAGAAAAACAACTGCCAGCCAACATTACTACCCCAGCAAAGTAGCCCTTATTAAATGAAGAAAAAATAAACTCTTTCCAATACAAGCAAAAGCTTCGAGAATTCATCACCACTAGACCGGCCCTACAAGAAATGTTTAAGTGAGTCATATAGCTGGAAGTGAAAGGACAACATCTACCATCATGAAAACATGTGAAAGTAGAAAGCCCGCTGGTAGAGAAAACAAGCAACTAAGAAAGAGAAAGCAGGACTCAAATGTTACCATTACAGACAACCACCAAACTTCAATGATAAACAACTATAGAGAAAGAAAGGAACAAAGGATATAGAAAACAACCAGAAATCAGTTAATAAAATGACAGGAGTATTAGTGTAATTAATAACCTTGAATGTAAACAGATTGAACTTTCCACTGAAAGATATAGATGGGCTGAATGGATAACAGAAACATGACTCAACTGTATGCTGCCTATAAGAAACTCACTCCTCTGTAAAGACACACATAGGCCACAAGTAAAAAAATGGAAAAAGAGTCCATGTAAACAGAAATCAAAAGTGAGCAGAAGTAGCTACACTTCTATCAGATAAAAGAATTTAAGTCAAAAATGGTAAAAGGAGACAAAGAAGAGAATTACATAATAACAAAGAGATCAATTTAGCAAGAGGATATAACTATTCTAAACATGTATGTACCCCATGCCAGAGTGCCTAAATATATAAAGCAAATATTATTAGTTATAAAATGAGAGATAGAGTCCAATACAATAATAGTTGTAGACTTCAACAACTTATTCTTAGCATTAGACAGATCACTTAGATAAAAAGCTAACAGAAAACCATTGAATTTAAACTGCACTTTAGACCAAATGGACCTAATAAATGTTTGTGTAACATTTTCTCCAGTAGCCACAGAGTTAATTTTCTTTTCATCAGCACACAGAACATTCTCCAGGATAAACCATATATTAGGACACAGAACTAGTCTCAACAAATTTTTGAAAATTGAAATCATATCAGGTATCTTCTCAGACCTGAGTGGAATAAATCTTAAAAACCAATAACCAAAGAAAACTTGGAAACTGTACAAATATAAAAAAATTAACCACCATGTCCTTGAATGACCATTGGAGTAATGTAGAAATTAAGAAGGAAATAATAAAATGTTTCTTAAAATAAATGAAAATTGAAGCACAACACACTAAAACCTATGGGAAAGAGCAAAAGCAGTATGAAGAGGGAAGGTTAGAGCAAAGAAAACCTACATTAAAAAAATGAAAGTATTTCAAATAAATAATCTAATGATGCTCCTCAAGGAAATAGCAAAGAAGAAACTAATAAAGCTCAAAGTCAGAAAGAAAGAAATAGTAAAGATTAGAGAAGAACTAAATGAAAAAATTACAAAAGATTAAACAAAAAGTTGGTTTCTTGGTAAGATCAAATTTGATCAACTGCTAGCTAGACTAACCAAGAAAAAAAAAAAACCCAAATAAATAAAATTAGAAATGAAAAAAAAATTACAACTGATGTTACACAAATAGAATAGATTATCAGGAACTATCATGAACAACTATACACTAACAAACTGTAAAACCTAGTAGAAATGGGTATTTTCATGGACAAATACAACCTACCAAGGTTGAATCAGGAAGAAACAGAAAACCTGAGCAGACCAATAATGAGTAATACAATTGAATGAATAATAAAAAGTCTGCCAACTAAGAAAAGACTAGGACAAGTAGGCTTCACTGCAAAATCTACCATACCAAACTTACAAAGAAGATTTTCCTTAAGCTATTCAAAAAAAAAAAAAATGGAATAGCAGGGAATTCTCCCTAATTTATTTTATGAGGTAAGCATTATTCTGATACCAAATCCAGACCAAAAAAAAAAAAAAAAAAGAAAACTTTAGGTCAATGTATTCCTAACGAACATAGATGTAAAAACCCTTAGCAAAACAAATTCAACAATACATCAAAAAGATAATACACCATAATCAAGTGTTTGTATCCCAGAGATGCAAGGATGGTTTAACATATACAAATCCATAAACATGATATATTACACCAACAGAATGAAGGATAAAAACTGTATAATCATTTTAATAGATGCAGAAAAAGCATTTGTTAAAATTGAACATCCTTCATGATAAAAACCCTCAACAAGCTAGGCATAGAAGGAATATATCTCAACATACTAAAGGCTATATATGGCAAACCTATATGAATGCAGAAAAGCTGAGAGCCTTTCCTATAAGAACCAAAACAAGGATGCGCACTTTCACCACTCCTATTGAACATAGTGCTGGAAGTCCCCAACAGAGCAATCAGGCAAAATAAATAAATAAAAGGTATCCAAATTGGAAAAGAAATTAAATTGTCCCTCTCTGCCAGTGACATGATCTTATATTTAGAAAAAGATAAATACCCCACCAAAAACCTCTTAGATTTTGTGAATTTAATAAAGTCAAAGGGCATAAAATCAACATGCAAAATCAGTAGTGTTTCTATACACCAATAATTAATTAGCTGAGAAAGAAATCAGGGAGGCAATTCCATTACAATAGATAAAAATAAAATATGTAGGAATAAATTCAACCAAAAAGGTAAAAGACCTCTACAAGGAGAACTACAAAACACTGATTAAAGAAATTGAAGAGGACACAAATTTTAAGAAAAACTCATGCTCATGGATTGAAAGACTGAATATACTTAAAATGACCATATTTCTGAAAGCAATGTACAGATTCAATGTAATCCCTATCAAAATGCCCAGTCATTTTTCACTGAAATTTTTTAAAAAATTCTAAAATTTGCGGGGAACCACAAAAGACCCCGAATAGCCAAAGCAAACCAAAGCTAGCCATGTGCAGAAAGCAGAAACTGGACCCCTTCCTGACAGCTTATACTAAAATTAACTCCAGATGGATTAAAGACTTAAACATAAGACCTGGCACCATAAAAACCCTAGAAGAAAATTTAGGCAAAACCATCCAGCACATAGGAGTAGGCAAGGAATTTTTTTTTGAACACTGTTGATGGGAATATAATTTAGTACAGCCACTGTGAAGGACAGTAAGGAGATGCCTGAAAAAACTAAAAATAAAACTACCACTTGATCTAGCAATCTCACTACTTATTCAAAGGAAAGGAAATCATTCTATTAAAGAGATACTGCCATATTTACTGCAGCACTTTTCACAACAGACAAGATGTGGAATCAACCTAAGTGTCCATTAGTGGATGAATGGATAAAGTAAATGTGGTATGTATATACAATGGAATATTACTTGGCCATAAAAGAGAATGAAATCACGTTATTTGCAGCAACATGTATAAAACCAGAAGTCATTATGTTAAGTGAAATGAGCCAAGCACAGAAAGACAAATGTCACTCTCACTAATATATGGGAGCTAAAAAAGTTGATCTCATGGAGGTAGAAAGTGAAATATATATCAGAAGATGGTGAGGGTGTGGGTTGGTGAGGAGTGGGAATGAAGAGAGGTTGGTTAATAGATACAAACATACAGTTAGATAGAAGGAGTAAGTTCTAATGTTTGCTAGGCAGAGTAGAATGACTACACTTAACACATTGTATTGTACATTTCAAAACAGGAAGAAAGAACTTCAAATTTTCCAAACACATAGAAATGATAAATTCTCGAGGTAATAATAGATTCCCTAAATACCTTGACTTGATCATTATACATTCTATGCATGTAACAAAATATATCATGCACCTCATAAATAGGCATAAATATTATATCTGAATAAAAAGGTATCCTGAAGACCTTTAACTCCCACTTATAAGTGAGAACATGTGGTATTTGGTTTTCTGTTTCTGTATTAGTTCACTTAGGAAAATGGCCTTTAGCTGCATCCATGTTGCTGCAAAGGATATGATTTCATTTTTCATGGCTGCATAGTATTCTTATTCCATGATCTGTCTATTTTTTTGTGTTCTGTTGCAGGTGAACTCTTGGTTGCAAGGTGTTTTGTTTACAGGACTTGAGGAAGGAATTAGTGTGAAGTCAAATGTCTCATATCTACAGATGTTCAGTAAATCACCGTTTTCAGCCCCACATCTCACTTTTATCCTCCATTGTACCTGATTTCTTAAAGGTTCTGTATAACAGATTGTGTTATATTTCTAGATGTATTGACACTATTTATGCATATTTTGGCTGCTTCTACACTGGTTTATTACTGTTATAAAATTTGTTGGCTTGTTTACTGTCTTCTAGAAATTCGTTAAAAGCTCTCAGGTGTCTTGTACTAGAAGATTCTATTGGGAATCCTTATCTCTACTTTATTTTACTGCTCCTTCTTCTTTTTTGAGGTTTTGCTGAAGATATTTCTGAGGAATCATCCCAGGTGCCACACTACAAGAATGATTCAGTTGACAGCTACCCCTGTGAGTGCACTCGTTGATGAGCCGGTGCATATCCGAGCTACAGGCCTGACTCCCTTTCAGGTGGTGAGTTTTAAGGCATCACTTGAAGATGAAAAGAGAAACATGTTTTATTCTCAAGCCCACTATAGGGCCAATGAATTTGGTGAGGTGGACCTGGAGCATGCTTCTTCACTTGGAGGGGATTATGTGGGAGTCCACCCCATGGGTCTCTTTTGGTCCCTAAAACCTGAAAAGCCATTAAAAAGACTGTTGAAAAGAGATGTGATGAATAGCCCCTTTCAGGTCCAATTAGAACTTTATGACATAGAATTGCTACCAAACAATAAAGCTACCAGTGCTCCAAAGGCCAGCCTGACTTTGAAGAGGTGGTATGTGGCACCTGGTGTCACACGAATTCAGGTTCGAGAAGGCCGCCTTCGAGGAAATCTCTTTCTCCCTTCAGGTAAGTAGAATTTCTCTGTTTTGTTCTTCCATTTTAAATACATTATCTCTCTAGAAATTTAGCTTGAATATGGATAATACACTTGCTTCCTGCCTTACAATCAATGTTAACCTTGGGTCAGAACAAGAATGGGGTAATATTCCACTCCAACTCAAGTTTCATCTCAACAATTCTGAACCTTGTCTAAGAATGTGACTACATATAGTTTATGGAGTCCCTACATTATGGGATTTACATAGCTTTGGATTTATGCTAAATTTTTCTGCATTGAAGACTGGCTATATGAAGACCCTCATCCTGATGTCATGGAAACCATATCCCAGATCCTTGTGCGGGCTCTGTCAGGTTGAGTTTCAGTTTAGGCATGGGTTATTACCTTGTTGCCACAACAAGCTTCAGATAAGATGCACTGAAAGACTGCAGCAAATATAGAGAATGCAAAGAAACTTTGTACCCTCTAGTTTCATAAATATTACATATTTATAGACTATTCCATGAATCAGATAGTATAACATGCTTCCTAATGGCTACAAAACTTATCGGAACACTCATAGTTTCCCACAGAAATCTCCAAATACCAACAAATAACTTGTTTAAACATCTATTGGTACATTTCTCAGAGTTTATTGTGGGGCCAAATAAAGCAAAGTTAATTTCTCAGAAGAGAAGAAGCAATAAAAGCTTTCCTTTCCAAATTCACTACAACCATGCATTTGTTCAGATAAATTTGAATTTTTAAAATACCCAGTAAATAGCACGTAGACCACTTTAGCACAAATTGCTGTGACTCTATTATCCCACCCAGTTAAAAATCTGTTTATTGGTGCAGGCCTTCCATCTTGGAATGATGTGCTGGTGTAGTGTGCTGTTTGTGAACCCTCTTGAATGATGCATGTGCTGGGTCTCTTGCTTCAAGTGTGTTTTCTATAGGGGGAACAAAAGAGAGTTGAGTTGTGTGAGGTCATAAGGAGGTTGAGCCAGATCACAAATATTTCTTGATGGCAACATTCTTCAAAGATCAAAGACTCAGTACTTTTAAGTGTTCCCCATTCTTGTGAATCAGAAGGTCAAAACGTCCTTATTTATTTATGCAAATGATAATTTGTAACTAAGATATATTTAACATCACTTTATTTCTTTTTTATTCAATGTGATTAGTTATAGTAATTTTTTAAAATTCCCAGTACCCCTTTAAATCAAGCCACTCCTTTCAAACATGGATAGGTTTGGTCTGTCTTAGTTAAAACCACTTATAAAAGAATAGAATATCCCTAATAAGTGCATGGTAAATTTCTTTCAGTGTGTGGGTTCTGCTTTGTTTTGGAAAAAAGTGGCCTATATGGAGTGAGTGTAGAGTGATACTCTGGCCATCCCTACTTTTTACCATGTGTCAGCCTGCAGAAAATGAGCATAGTGTTATTGAATTAAAGGGCCCATCATTTACACATGCTTAGGTGTAAGATTTCATCACTGTATAGTCAAATGAGTGTAACAGAGCAGTGTTAAGTCAGGATTTTAGCGAATACAACCATTTCAAAAACTTTTTTGAACCGTATATTTCTTTGAGAACCAAGTTAAACCTGTGGAACCTCATAAGTAAAATTCACCTATAAATATATATATATACCATATTTAGCATAGATTGTAATTTCAGGATCTTCATGGACTTCCTAAAACCTATTTGTAAACTTCTTTATAGGTTAAGAAGCCTTGGCTTTGGTTGGGTGTGGTGGCCCATGCCTATAATTCCAGCACTTTGGGAGGCCAAGGTGGGCGAATCATGAGGTCAGGAGTTCAAAACCAGCCTGACCAACATGGTGAAACCCTATCTCTACCAAAAATACAAAAAAAATTAGCTGGGTGTTGTGGTGCACACCTGTAATCCCAGCTTCTCAGAAGGCTGAGCCAGGAGAATTGCTTGAACCCGGGAGGCAGAGGTTGCAGTGAGCCCAGACTGCGCCCTCATACTCCAGCCTGGGCGACAGAGTGAGACTCCATCTCAAAAACAACAAACAACAAAAAAGAAGCCCTGGCCTTATTTCTCTGCCTTTCTTTACAACAAGAGTATAGAAACTACTGTGAATTCCCATCTCCTCAGCTGCAGAGTAAATATGTCAGTGAATGTAGTTCCCAAACATTTAGGTGTTGTGTTCCATTATACATTCAATGGGCCTTAATTCTGCCTCAGATAGAAGGCTAAACATGTTGGAACTGTACATGAAAATTTAAATGTTAATTTCAAAATTACATTTGAAATGTAATTTTGCATTTCTGCTTTGTGTTCTCATGTTTTTATTATCTTTTTCACACCTCTTCATGTACAATTCTGTTTTGTTTTGTTATTTTTCAGGAGAGGGTCAATTCCCAGGGGTAATTGATTTGTTTGGTGATTTGGGTGGGCTGGTTGAAATTCGGGCCAGTCTGCTAGCCAATCGTGGCTTTGCCTCCTTGGCCTTGGCTTACCATGACTATGAAGACCTGCCCTCCAATCCAGAAGTAACAGATTTGGAATATTTTGAGGAGGCTGCCAACTTTCTCCTAAAACATCCTAAGGTAATTTTTACCTTTTCAGTAGCTTTGAATCCCTGGGTTTATTTATTTATTTTTAATTTTTTTATTTTAAGAGACAAGGTCTTGCTCTGTCACCCAAGCTGGAGTGCAGTGGCATGATCTGGCACTTGGCTAGAAGCCAGTCCCTTTTGATACTACGATGGGCACAGGCTAACTTCCTATGCATTTTGTCTTTCTGGGCAAAAGACACTGGATAAGAAATAAATTATGTGAATTATAAATAACATGGGCATGAATAGAATTTCAAGTTCACTGAGAAAGAATCATACTTGGAAGTTAAGAGAGGTCAAAGGATATTATGGTTATTTTTAAAAAAGGGACTGGCTGGGTGTGATATCCCAAGCCTGTAATTCTAGCACTCTGGGAGGCCAAGATGAGAGGATCAATAGAGGCCAACAGTTCAAGACCAGCCTGGGCAACATAGTCAAACTCTGTCTTTATAAATATTAAAAAAATAGCTTGATGTGGTAGCAGGTGCCTATAATCCCAGGTACTCGGCAGGGGCTGAGGTGAAAAGATTGCTTGAGCCTGGGAGGGTTGAGGCTGCAGTGAGCCATGTTCCTGCCACTGCACTCCAGCCTGGGTGTAAAAGCAAGATCCTGTCTCAAAAAAAAAAAAAAGAAAGAAAAAGCATAATGCATGCAAAATGCTTATCATAGAACCTGGCAATACTAAGCACTCAATAAAGATGAACATATGTTAGACAAAACTTTCTATGATCAGACTTCTGCATAATTCTTCAGTCTTAGAACTCTAATTATTAACTAGCTCTCATTTTTCTCATCACTATACTTAATCAGACAGATAATCTGTATTTCCTTGAAGATGAGTATGAATCTTCAGTTATTTGCGAGCCCTTAAACATAATACTATACTGCTTTTCAACTCATATGTCTTTTAAAATCTTAAAACATGTACTTTGCTACTATAATAGAGTTGGAGTTTATTAACCCTTGTTAATTGACCAATATTTTTTCTTTCCTTTTTTTTTTTATGAGACAGAGTCTTACTCTGTCACCCAGGCTGGAGGCAGTGGTGCTATCTCAGCTCACTGCAACCTCTGCCTCCCGGGTTCAAGAGATTCTGCTGCCTCAGCCTCCCAAGTAGCTGGGACTACAGGTGCATCCCTGTAGACTACCTGACTAATTTTTGTATTTTCAGTTGAGACGGGGTTTTGCCATATTGGCAAGGCTGGTCTCAAACTCCTGACCTCAAGTGATCCACCCGCTTTGGCCTCTATTTTTTTCTTAATAAGAATTGAAATAAAATTAAATCTGCATACTACATGGGTATGTAGATCCTATATAAGGATCACCAAAATATAATCAGGTTTGCAGAAATAACATAAGCAACAATTACTGAAAATCTACTGATGTATTGAAAATTTTAAATGGCTATTTTTGATGCATATAATGGAACTGCCCTTGGACTGTCAGTCAATATTATCATCGTGAGCCTTCTTCTTAGCTTAGTTGAGAAGTGGAGAGGTTATGTGATTCTCCTTTTCACTGTCTTTGTCTCGTTTCCCTTATATTTGCTATATGACTTTTTCATCACTATTCCTGCCAATGTCATATAAATAGCTAGTTAATGATTAATTAATTCAGGCCTGGAAACCAGATTTTTTTCCCCCAGACTCCAAGAAATCCCATTAAACTTGCTTCACATTGTCTCTTCTGCAGGATGATAGAACACAGATCTTTCTTGCAGGTCTAGTTTCTCTACCTGTTGATTTTAAGTAACTTCTAAGAACTCAGAATTTTCTGATCCTAAATTTGGTAGTAGAAGTTGTGACAAGAGTTATTGTTTTGGCAAGGGTCAGAAACATATTTGTTTCATGCACATATTTGAGTCATGATTTTTTTGTTCATTCGTGTTATACTTGCTTTTTACTTTATCTTCCATGGCCAAATCCATTCTGAGTTCCCATCTTTCCTTACCATAACTGCCACTCTCTATCTTTTATATTAAGATAAAGGACTGGGAGGGGTGGGGGAGAAAGGTAGGTCAAAGGATACAAAGTTTCCATTAGACAAGCAGACTAAGATCTGGAGATCTATTGCACAGCATGGTGACCATAGTAAATACTAATATATTTACTATAAGCTAAAAGATTAGAACAATGAGAACACATGAACACAGGGAGGGGAGCATCACACACTGGGGTCTGTCAGGAGGAAATAGGTGAGGGTCAACGGGGTGGGGAGTTGGGAAGAGATAGCATGGGGAGAAATGCCAGATATAAGTGATGGGGAGGAAGGCAGCAAATCACACTGCCATGTGTGTACCTATGCAACAATCTTGCATGTTCTTCACGTGTACTCCAAAACCTAAAATGCAATTAAAAAAAAAAAAGATTAGATTTTAAATGTTCTTACCACAAAGAAATGATAAGTTTGTGAGGTGATGGATGTGTTAATCAGCCTGATTTGTTCATTCCACCACATATATATGCACTGAAATATCACATTGTCCCCATAAATATGTATAATTATTATTTGTCAATTGAAACTAAAAGTTAGGCCAGGCCCAGTGACTCATGCCTGTAAACCCAGCACTTTGGGAGGCTGAGGTGGGCAGATCACCTGAAGTCAGGAGTTCAAGACAACCCTGGCCAACATAGCAAAACCCCTCTCTCTGCTAAAAATAAAAATATTAGCCGGATGTGGTCGTGGGCGCCTGTAGTCCCAGCTGAGGAGGCTGAGGCAGGAGAATTGCTTGAATCTGGGAGGCAGAGGTTTCAGTGAGCCGAGATTGTGCCATGCACTCCAGCCTAAGAGAGACTCAGTCTCAAAAAATAAAAATATAAATACATAAAAAAAATTAAAATTAAAAAATACAGAATTTCAGAGCTGGAAAGGAACTTTTAATTGATTTAAGCCGTTCCTATTAAATATGCAGGGTAGGAAATAGAGAGTACATATAACTCATTCCATTTGTTTAGTTTTTTTCCCTCTTACCCTAAGAATATCTCACATTTCCATCAGTTTGGCATTAATTGTACATTGATTCATGTATTTCTAGGTGGTATAGAAAATATCCCAAACATTGGTTTATAAAATACCTTTAAAATACAGGAGATCAATTAAAATAAATACAGGAAGTCAACAAAGGTTTTAGAAAAGTGATGCTTCTCTCTGAGACTGTCCTCACCAGGAGCCAGTGCTCAAGGAGAATCAGAGCTTTATTTTGTGGCACAAGAAACAATTTTCTTTAACTCCTTCTCTGTTGAATTCCCAACCAAACTGGTAAACGGGAGCAATACACTCAATACTCAAAAATAACTCATGAACACGTGGCTTCTTTTCATTTTTACTGGTGTTAGCTTAGTTCAGGACATCATAATTTCCTGCTTATGCCAGTGAAATAAGCTATGGCTTTTCTGCCTCCATTTGTGCAAGTCAGAGTTGTAAGACGGGCCTTCATAGAACACAGCTATTTTACTCACTTGGCTTACAAGTCTCCCTATTTATTACAGGATACAGGCCAGACTCCCTAGCATGTTAGACAAAACTTCCTATGTCTTATCTTGTACCTATCTTAAAAATTGTCCTAATTCTCCTCCTTAGTTTGGAAAAGAACTGAAGATGCTTAATACATCTTTCAAAGCTATGCACCATAAAGTTGGTGTTTTCTGTTCCAGACTTCTTATGTTATTTCCCACCTTATACTCTAAAGTCAAGTACTGAAGAACTACTTGTGGTTCCTCAAAATGCCTTGCTCTTCATTGCCTCTCAGTTTTTGCATGTGTTTCTCCCATGGTGAATACATTAGGAATGTTTTGGCTACATTTCCCAGAAAAGTGGCTGATGGTGGCTTAAGCAATATCAACATAAAGCCTCTTATTCTCTTACATAACAGGTTTGGTGATAGGTGGTTCAAACTTTGGTTTAGAAACTCAGTGTGGATTTTGGTCAAGGAGGTTAGATTGACATTTCTGCAATTTTCTATCCTTACTCTGAAGGTCACACAATGACTTTGGCAGTTTCAGGAATTAAGTCAACAGGCCAGCATCTTAGTCTGAAAACAGTGACCATAAACATAGGCTTTCTCTTCATGATTCTGTGTCATTTTGCATGGGGCAAAACCAAAGTTTTTAGGAATAAAATGTTGGCCTTAGAAGAGGGGCTGAGAAAGGGGAATAGATTAGGACCCATCAGAATTTATCCCTTGGGGCTGGATATATTGCTACACTGGACAAAATCACGGTCATATTAGCCTTGAAATTGTAGAGAATGGCTTCTGTGTAGGCAACTAACAGTGTCTTCTATACTCAGCATAGAATACTGTTCCTTCTTGTTGGCTTTCTTTTTCTTTTTCTTTTTTGAGACAAGGTCTCATTCTGTTGCCCAGGCTGGGGTGCAGTGGCACAATCATGGCTCACTGAAGCCTTGAACTCCTGGGCACAAGTAATCCTTCCACCTCAACTTCCTGAGTAGCTGGGCCTACAGGCACACACTGCCATATCCAGCTAACTTTTTTAAGTTTTGTAGAAATGGAGTCTCACTATGTTGCCCAGGCTTGGCTTTCTTTTTTGATATAAAGACCCATTTTGCAGCCTGTTTCCTCTGATAGTCTTTCTTTGATCCTGCCATTATTCCCTGCTAATCTGGGTTGGCAGTCTGGCCTATATGCATTCTTATATCACAGAATTTATGATACCTTAATCACTGTTGTGTTTTTTTCCTCCTTTCTCTCCATCTGGCAGTGAGTTCCTTAATGACAAGAGATTGTTCCTTTCTTCTCTGTGATTACCAGTGCTTGCTGTCGGGTGGAGGATCTGAGGATGTTTATTTGATGACTGACAATGAGGGAGGAAGCTGAACCAAGTCTCCTTTATGATATTTTTCTCCAAAATAAGAAAACTTTTGGGAAACCCAAAGCAAATCTAGAATCCTCTGTTGAAGTTTCTATGCTGTACCCCACTGATCTCACTTTCCTTCTCAGTCTCTTCCTACAAGGTGCCCTTTCCTCTAAAGGGAGCTCAGAACTGGTGCAAGAAAGTTTACTAGTCACTGTACTTACCACATTATTCACAATAGTCACGTACCATTTCTCATTCTCCCTACTATGTTTGCATTTCTTTAAGGAATTTTAAACTCAGGACCAAACACAATACTGAATCCATAATATACAGTTGGTAAAGCTTGACATGTTTTTGGAGTATTTCTTTTGAATACATATTATATATTCCAGAATTCTATAGCTAGGGTTGTGGGTGGGATTAATACTTGCTTTTGAAGTTCTTTGGTTTTTTGAGATTGTGGAGATTCTATCCTAAAAGAAGGATAGAATAATTTCTCATTTCTATTGTTTATTTTCAGGTCTTCAGCTCAGGCATAGGGGTAGTCTCTGTATGTAAAGGAGCAGCGATTGGACTGTCGATGGCTATTCATCTAAAACAAGTCAGAGCCGCGGTACTTATTAATGGGACCAACTTTAGTTGTGGCGTTCCACAGGTATATCGTGGTCAGATCTATCCGCCCCTTCCCTATTCTACACAATTAATATCCACCAATGCCTTGGGGTTAGTAGAGTTCTATCAGATTTTTAAGGAAACTCAAGTTGAGGCCAGTCAATATTTTTTTCCGATTGAAGAGGTCCAGGGGCATCTCCTCTTCATTGTGGGAGAAGATGATAAGAATCTCAACAGCAAAGCACATGCTGAGCAAGCCATAGGACAGCTAAGGAGACATGGAAAGAACAACTGGACCCTGCTATCTTACCCTGGGGCAGGCCACCTGTTAGAGCCTCCCTATTCCCCTCTGTGCTGTGCCTCAATCATGCACGATATGAAAATGTACTGGGGAGGAGAGGTGATCCCACACGCAGCTGCACAGGAACATTCTTGGAAGGAGATTCAGAAATTTCTCAGGAAGCACCTCATTCCAGATGTGACCAGTCAACTCTAAGAAGACTAGATGTTCCTAGAAAATAAAGAAGCAACTCTCTTTACCAGTTTTCATGGAGGAATGTCCTCCCCTCAACACACACATTTTTTATTAATTTTAATGATTAAAAAGAGCACAGGGTAAAAACCTATTATTTCACTTATACTGCATAACAAGCTAACCAAATTGGACATGGTGGATAAATCGTAAAACGAATAATTTTACTTATTATTTACTTGACTTTTCTTACCATCAGGTCTTCTAAATGCGACTGAGGTATAGTACACTGGCAAAAATAAGAAAAGGCAAACACGAATAGCACCAAAGTAACATAACCAAAATCAAGTACCATGTCAGAAAACACTGGATAGTAACAATTTATCAGATTAGAGCAGAAGGAGAAAGTTACTGTTAATTATTTTAGTGATATTTTTCAACTTCACCACAGTAAATTTTTTATTACAGATCCACTTCTAAAAGGTTTCCTGTGACATTGCAGCAAGACTTTTTTTCAGAGGAAAAATCCTAAATTCTTCCTCAAATAAAAATACATTATAGTAAATGGTAAATGCATAAAATTACAGTAAGCCAGACACTTAAAAGGACAGCCAAGAAGTCTTCCAGCAGTTTATTAGAAAGAATGTAGACATAAAAAATATCTCTACTGTCATTAATATAAATTGAGGTTTTCAGCCTTGGTACAAGCAGAATTTAAAAAAAAGGACATTAAAAATCCAAAGTGTACTAACCTTTTTTCAGTCATTTGCCATACTTCCAGTGCAAATACAAATCTGGTCTAAAGCTGCAGACTCTCAAGCAACAATGTACAGCTTCCTTCGTCCTTCATGCTAAGAGAATTAAAAGCTTATGGGACAAACAATACCACAGGCTTCAGAAACTATGTTACGGCATTTACTCATTTTAGCTATGATACATCTGGCACACTGACAAGTGGTCACTTACATACAATAGTGTGAAGTGAAATTTTTGAAATCTAAACGTTAGTGGAGTAGTCCTGAAGTGTATACCACAAGAACAGCAGGTTACCAGTTTAAGGTGTCAGCCAATTTGCTTTATCTGCTTTTGAGTCCATATACTATACCCTGAATTTAGTTATCTTTGCCAAAGCTGAGAGCTTCCTATCACATCGGTATTTAAGTTATGAAGAAAAGGAGACTTCGATGATATATTTCATTTATCACAACTGGTTCATCAATTACCTAGGACCTCAACAGCTTCATGGAAGTCTGGGAATGTTCGTGCGTAAGGTTACTGCCTTAGCTGACTTCAACTTGCCCACACGCTGGTACATATCAACCCTCAGTGAAGCCTTTAAAAACACAAACAAGTTGACATATGGGTTAAAGTAGGCAAACACAGCAACTGCCTTGAGAACTGTCAACTCAGGAATTCTCTCAATTATGAAATCTTGCAGAGAAGTTGCTTTTCTTTTTCAAAATCCAGTTGACGATAATATTCTTTACTCCAGATCTGGCATTTTTTCATTACTATCTTGTGAATTAGCATCTGCTCCATTGACTTCTGGTAAATCCTCACCACCCATGTTGTTAATGATCTCAGAGAAATGATCAAAATTAGACACGTCTTCATCCAAGTCATCTTCCCAGCTTTTCCAATTATTGAAGTCCACACTCAGCCAATTAAGTTTTGCTCTTTCTTTTGTTAACTTTGGCTCATGATTGGCCAGATTCTCCTTTTTGTAAACAATATAAAGTTGTTATTTGATGCCGGGAATCATTTGGATCAACACAGTGACAAGGGTCAATTTTCCTTAAATCTTTAAAATTGTCACTTCCGCCAAAAAAGATGAATGTAAGTTTGGATTTTTCAAAATTTACATCAACATCTTTACTGTCTTCAACACAAAATTTAATGAGGACATCTTCCCGTTGATGGCACCACTTTGCAGAAGCAGGCTGCATTGTGAACTGGGTAGGGGGACGGGTGCACAGGTGGGCAGGCCTCTATGGCGGCTGCTGCTAGGGAGTTGCCTCTTTTCTGGTGGTAACTCAGTGTTTTCCTCCCTGGTTGAGCCTCTTCTTTTGCAGCTGCAGCCTGACCTGGGTTCTCAGAATATGCCTAGCGGAGAGAGTGGCTCTTCCTGCTGGGGACAAGAGGAAAGTGTTGGAAAAGGGGCAGGAGGACGGAGAAGGTCAAATCTTGAATCATTAATAAAGATGACTTTGCTCTCCTTTTCAATACTGTATTGAATATTGAAAATATTGAAGTGAATCTTCCCTTTCACACTGCTCTACTATCACCTTATACAGTATCCTGTAACTTATTATAATCATTATTTATTGTCTGTGGTCCATTACTAGAATGTAAGCTCCATGAGGGCGGAAATTGTTGTTCTGTCTAGTGCACACTATATATTTGTTGAATGAATGAACAGAAAATAACACTGGCTACCATTTACTATATAAATGAAAGGTGCTTTGCATGTTCTCTCTCAGCCTTCGCTGCAGACTAATGAAGTAGTTTAATATTAAAGTTCTTCCAGCAACTTGAATAGAGTGATGAGAACTTTTTACATGAAAATAAACTTCAGCATAAAATAACAAATGTTTGCTATCATTCCCTTCTCCTCATGAGGGTGAGAAAAAAAATAAATTTAGTACATTTTAAATTACCTAGTTAGGAATTTTTATGCAGTTGTGCATATATCCATATAAATATATTTCTTTCATATAGGCAATAAATATATTTCACCTCTATTGCAATAGCCAGAACATGTAGGATAAACATTCTTTTGTATACTAAATAATTGTCAACTCCTATAAGTAACATTCCAATGTATTTCTGAAAAGAAACTCAATTCATATGAAAATTTATTATGTGAGAATTCATACTACACTTCCTACCATCTATATTTTACATGTCATTTTGATGCAGGGCGGGTGAGCCCCAAAGTAGGGCTTAGCCTGCAAGCATTCTTGGCTTCGCCTAAGGAAGAATTCATGGCAACCTGGTGTTAGGGTAGAAGAAAATAGCCTGACTCAAGTGGAAGTACTACAGCTTCAGCAGTGTTGCAGCTCCGGTGCTGGTAGAGCTCCCTGACTTCTGCAGAGCAGGACCTCCCCACAGGCAGTGTGCTGAGAGCGGCAGCTCAGGGCAGCTTTGCAGTTGCATTTATACCTACTTTTAATTACATGTAGATTAAGGGGTGGTTTATGCAGAAGTTGCCCAGAAAAGGGTGATAACTTTTGGGTCATGAGTTCATTGCTATGGAAAGGAGCTGCGACTATGAGGTGTTGTCATGGCCACGGTAAGCTGTCACAGCACATTGGTAGGTGTGCCTTACAGAAAACTGCTTCTGCCTCATCCCTGTTTTAGCTAGTCCTCAGTTTGGCCTAGTGTCCGAGCCTCACCTCTGGAGTTGAGTCCCACCTTCTGCCTCAATTTGAACTTCAAAACAATAATTTTAGAAGTTTTAGTTCCCAAAGGTTTAAAATACTGATAGGCTCACCTGAGCACCATCCTTAATGTCATGCAGGCAACTTGTTGAGTATTACTCTTACCCTAAAATATCAATGAAATCAGGAGATTGACACTAGCCTTGAAGTATTGTTCAGAAAAAGAAACCCATAAATTCCCTAGTCAAAGTGCACGTTTATTACCTCATGGGATCAATGCCCTTGTGAAAGAGGTTGAAGACAATCCGCTGAGTTTGGATGTGCGAGGGTGGGGCCCCGTGGCTTCCCCCTGCACCTCCAGGCCATCAAGGTCTGCATCTGCCCTCTGGAGTCTGCATCTGCCCACTTAGTGGCTGGTTATGATACCCTTGATGGAGTGGCCGCTGCTCCTGGAGGCAGCTGATATGTACCTTGCACCTGATCGTGGTGCCTAAAGGGCCAGTTGAGACATATGAGGAGGATGAACAGTTTCTGAGGAAGATGCACCATGTGCTGCCAGAGATATATCTATATATAAATTTTTCTTTCTTTCTAGAAGGAACTTTTTTTTTTTTTTTAAACGGGGTTTCACCGTATTGGTCAGGCTGGTCTTGAACTCCTGACCTCAGGTGATCCGCCTGCCTCAGCCTCCCAAAGTGGTAGGATTACAGGCGTGAGCCACCGCACCCGGCTTCTAGAAGGCACTTCTATACTTCTTTGTTTAGTGAATCCCTACCCAGGTGTCAAGCTCCACTCATAGGTACCACCTCCAGGAATCTTTCCTGCTATGTGTTAGGCTCCCCTTGTGAGTACTCCTGGGATTTTATTTTTGGAAGTGTACTTACCACACTCCATTAAAATAGCTGGTGTACTTTTTCTATCTTTTTAGCTACAACAGGGGGTCAGCAAACTTTTCCTGTAAAGGGCTAAATAGTAAATATTTTAGGATTGTAGGCTGTATTAGGGCTTTTCAAAGAAACTGAAACTATGCAGATTGATCCTTGATCTGAAAATCTGAAATGCTCCAAAATATATGGTCTCTATTGTGATCATCAACTGCCATTGCAAAGTGAAAGGAGCTGTAAATAATACATAACCAAACTTTATCTGTTACAACAGATAGAGACTGGATTTGGTCTGCAGATTGTAGTTTGCCAACCCCTGAACTAGACTATGAATTTCTCGAGCAGGAACAGGGTCCTGATTAATTCAAACATCCTCGGATATAACAGGAACTTAATGAATTATTGTTGAATGAAAATGGAACTGATAGCATAATAGCTATGTGATTGCCATTATGGATCTGCATATTGGCAAATTCACAAGCATTTTGGTTACTATCAGGAACTATATTTCACAATATGTTTACTTATGTCATCTGGATGGCCATATGTGTTTTTCTTCAGTTTGCATGTGCATATACTTTATTTTAGTTAAGCAAAAATGCATATATATAGCTTTGTCATATTTTAAGTTTTCCTACAATTTTTCCAAATGAAATGATACAAATCAAACAGAATTTTATTTAAAATAATTTGTCAATGTTAGGGTGTCCAGGCACTCTAAATTTTTCTTCAGTTATTTTTAAGGAAAATCAAGTAACAGTCATTAAGCACTAAAATATGCCAACTACTTTATACCTTCACCTCTATTTTACAATTCCTGATCCTTCTGGAGAATGTGGAAAATTTTTCTGCTGAAAACAACCCTCACAGTTATTTCTGGGGTGTCCTTAGGGGATGTCTCATGTGTTAATCAGTAAGTTCTATCTGCTTCCCTGTAACACTGATCATTCATTATTTTCTTTCTCTCTCTAGCTCTGCTTGCTCCAGGCCTTCTTCAGTGAATGACCGAAGCTGAGTGATGTCCTCTCACCTTTGGTGTGTGTGTGTGGCTCATACATATCACTGACATCTGCGAATACTTCCCTTGTATATGATGAACACCTTATGTCCAGTGCTTTGCCAGTGTCCTAAATTCTCATTGGCTATATCCCTTGAGGGTCTTTGGACCATGATGTCATCTGTTCTGGGGAGCAGCATGGAGAAGGCCTGGATGTGTGCTAGTTTAGCCTGTCTATCACTTTGTTACCTAAGTCATCATGACTTGCCTAGCCTTTTCTGTGTTTCTCTTAGAACCTTAGTGAAAAATACTCATATGGCTTTGGGATTTTGAATTGGTAAATATTCACGATGTGTGAAAAAGCATAATACATACTGTATGATCTCAGTCCCATAAAATCGGATGTTGTGCCTACACACGTACAGGATCTGGAAGAAAATGTCAAACTATAAACTGCTTGTGATTGTGAATCACTTTGTTCTTTGCTTCTTGTGTTTTTCAGTTTCCTATAATGCACATATTAACTTTTTAAAAATAAAGGTTATTGTAAAAGCCAAAAAAAAAAAAAACCCACCAGTTTCTATTTCTGCTGCACCTCTCCTCCACTTCATCTCCTATGTTTGGATCTGGTTCTGGAAATCAGTCATGAAGATGGGGTCCTTGCTATTTTGCCAATGTATCTCCCATCCAGTGTGAGAACTGTGTATCAAAATACCTCCTTTTTCTAGGCATCCCAATATGTCTTTGAGTTCCAAGATCAATCCCTTTTTCCCAAGTCTTTCACTTTTATTACATTTTATCATGTTACTCCCATTTTACAATTTAGAAAGCTGAAGCACATGGCAAGTTAAGTAATTTGTTTGATGTAAGTCACACAGAGTAATGGAGTAAGGGTTCTAATCTAAATCTCTCTGAATCCAGAGACCAGTGATCTTCCAACTACACTTTACTGGCTGCCAGAGATGCAAAAATGAAAAGGCAAGGCTCCTCCCTTAAAGAATTCACAGCCTAAAGCAGAGTATACAATCTGTATGTTAGCTCATTTTTTACATTTTGACAATGGCTATTGGCTGATGAAATTAATAGTGGACCATGGGAATTTTAGAAGTTCCAGTTCTGGGTAACTCTTTGTTGTCTGGGAGAGCTTTTGCTGTCCTTTGGAAAAGTGGTTTCCAAAATGGGACACACATTAGAAACCCCTGTTAAAAATACACGTGCAAGTACCTTATCTCAGACCTATCAAGTCAGAACTTTCGGGTGCAGGACCCAGGAATCTTTACTTAACAGGCTCCTCAGGTGAGTCTTATGTCATCAGCTCACATTGCTCCTAAAATTGGAATTTGGGAGTTGCCCTTTTAGACATTGTTCCAGGGGAAACTGTTCAGAGACCACTGACTTAAAGGAGGAAACACAGAAGGAACTAAAGCAAAGGAGACTAGAGCCAGGAGTTGAGTGAGTCAAGAGAAAAGGCTTAGAAACCTGAGCTATGTGATGAAATATTAGACTCCATTGTGAACACCTGAACTGAAAAGCAGAGTAGCGAGACGACTCTGCCCAGACCCTTCGGCGCATCTGCTGGTAGCCCTGTTGCTGGGGATTTAAAAAGAGGAGCAGTGGATGGTTTTTGTGCAGACAATTTCAACTTTAATAGGCTGGGCTGTTTTAAATGATATAAATTAGCAAGCAACCAGCAAGCATCCAGTGCTTCTAAGTTGGATTCTAAGTTCATCAAGCCATCCTGCTTTAGGATTGCATCTGGCAGCTGAATTCAACGGTGAGTATTTGGGGAGTCAGGGCTGTCATTGCATGATAACGAGGGTCAACTTTCTGATACATCTGCCTGCAGGGCATCTGGAAAGGCTGCTTTCATCATGCTGTGTTTGTTTCTCTCATCCCAGAGGGGAGCTTGATTACCTGAAGTAATCATCACTTCAGGTGGTTCATTGCTCTGAAACACAGATTTTTGTCAGACGCGTCAACCTAACTAAGAGATTGTTGGGTGACTATTTTGGAGGCAACATGCACAACCTGGCTGCCAGAGTAAGGGTTCAGCTAATATGAATTGATAGAGATTGTTTCTTGACTTTCAAAACAGTTTTCTCTGGGATTTAGTGAATGGGAGTTGGGGGAGGTGAGCTGGGGGCTGTGTTTCTACCTGGGCTGAGAGGTGAGGTGCCAGTGTTGACAAAAGCGACAGACCCCTCAAAAGAATAAGAGTTTTGTTTCTTGGTTAGTAATTTTTATCTGCATTGGTGATCTTCTAATCTTTTATTCTTTGTCTTCTGCCTCTTCTTTTTGGTGCCCTGCCAGTTTTTGACTTCTCTTGCTTCGAATAGGTCACTGTCTCCCAGTAATATAGACTTGATCCCTTTCACTGTGGGAGTCTGGAGGTCCCTGACCCCAGCATGGCTTTCATGTTCAGCTTCCAATAAGGCTGTCTCCATATTGCTAAGGGCTCCCTCCCCAACCACTCCAATGCGAATCCTGTGGGAGGCAGCAGAGTTAACGCTGCTTGTCCTCCACTGCTTTGTAACCTTTGTCTCCTGAATACCTTGCAGTGTAGGGAGTCCTGGCTTCCAGTGCAAAAAAGTGGGGAAGCTGGGAAAATATATTCAATTGGATGTTGAAAGGTCTCCTATCTTCAGAAGCAGACTATAAACAGTCAAGTTGGCTTCTATTCTTTTTTATTCATTACCTCAGAAATTTCAATTTTGTCTTTAGCGCATATCATTTATTCTTTTACACATTCATCAAATATTTATTAAGCAGCCACTTACTTAGTAAATATGTGCCAGGCCCTATTCTAAGAACTGAGGAACATAGTGCTGAACAAAGTATAATTTCTGCTTTTGAGAAATTTACAATCTAGAATAGCACCATCCAATGGAATATTCTCTGATGGCAGAAATGTTTTCTACCGACATTGTTCAATAGAGTAGCCACTAGTTACACCTAGTTACTGAAATTAAGTTGTGGTTAGTGTGGTAGATAAACTAGATTTACTGTTTTATTTGTTTTTGATTAATTAAATTTAATTAGCTGTGCATGGCTAGTGACTACTGTATTTGGACAGAACAGAAAATGGATAGTCAGATAAAGCAGCAGACTTTTACAACATCATATGTTAAGTTTGTAATGAGGCAGTTGTTTAGACTAGTAAATAGATTGAGGTTAAAGGCTTTGATTGAATCAGATTCTGAAGGGTGCCAAACACAAAGGACCATCCAAGTCTAACACTTACAGATTTCAGCTGGTAAAGAAATAATGAACTAATTTTAGATTCAGCCAGATTATTACTTATACGTATAATAAGACAAGAGAAGCTAAAGATGTCAGCCCTGTGAGTCCTTATCCCACACACCAAAAGGAAGGCATTGAAACAAAAGGGGCCAGATTGCTTCAATATAAGTTGTGATACACCCTATTGCTGACCAGTCAATTCCAGACTGCAGCTAAATGGCTACAGAGCTGCAGTTCTGCCCTACGGAAGCCTGGGGATTAAGTTGGAAAGTCTCTTGTTCTTCGAGAACCTAGAAGGTATATCAGAAAACTGCCTCATGGCAGTGTCCCACAAGATAGAGGCAGATGAGAAAACAACCTCATGAAGCCTTCTTTGAAGATTTCCTCCCTTGCCATGTTGCTGGGAGGATCACAGGGCATTCTACTAGATTTAGGTCACATAGCAGTCCAAGCTTTGCCTGTGCATCCCATGTAGATACATGCAGAGTCTCTAGGGCTACATGGTGGAGTCATTCCTTTGGAAATGGTCTTAAGTGCTATGCCAAAGGATTTAGACTCTACCCTTGAATCTGGGAGCTACTGGAAGTTTAAAGTAGAAGAGTAATTTGACTTTTGAGTTTTGCAGAGATCAGTCTCACAACATTGTAGAAACTACAGAAAAAAAAACTGTGAAAACAAAGATTTGGGAAAAAAGGATGAGAGTTTGTGGGAATGAAGAAGCGTGTACAGTTAAAATCATTTATGAACACATGGAATGTGAAGGGCTCCATACACAGTAGAAGTGATGAATTAATGAAACAATTCTGCCCTCAAGAAACTTTCAGATTAATAGGAGAGGGGAAACACAAAACGAATGATTATAAGGGTCAGCTTTGTGCAGTGGCTGTATCGTAGCCAATGAGGTTTACTGAGGCGAGATAATTGATAATTGAAAACTTTTCCCAATACCCTGCTATGACGACTTGCAATATAGTCAGCATTGGCAATTTTTGACAGTCTATATGGAGATAAATAAAATTTTTAAAAAATGGCTATAAGGCTCAATATGTTAAGCACTTTGAGAAGCATGCTGGAGGGCCCAGAGAAAGGAGAGACCTCTTCAGAGGGGTGTCCTTTATATAGTAGGTAGTTTATTGGTGATGATGACAATGCAGTGTGGACAGGAGAAGCCTTAAGGATCTTACAAATTAACACTCTGGAAATCTATGAGGTGCTAGCTCTGAGAAGCAATGAGGCTTATCAACTAACAGGGGTACGAATCCATATACATGGATTAGAGTCCAATTGAGAACAAGGTAATACAAATGTAATACAAGAAAAGTAGGAAAAAGTCATACAGATTAAGCATGGGGAGAGGTGGTAAGGAGGAGGTTTGAAGGCTTTGGATTTTGAGGACAGCGTCAACTTGTTTTTTATCAGTGTACATAGTAATAGATAGGTCCTCACTTCTCACTTCCCATCCCCACATTTTGGCATTTCTACTTTGTCGTCCATCGTTTAACCAAGGGAGGCCAGTTGATATCCATGGCCTTAAAAAAAGGTAACACATCAGAAACAGGAAAAAAATCTTCTTCTGGCTTTTGAGTTACAAAAAGCCTAATGGTTGGTATGCAGTCCAGAAGCCACAACTGAGTGTGTTTTGTTTGGTTCACATCTTGTTTTGCTGCACATTGAATACCTTTAGACTGGGCTAAAGACTAGGCAGTCTTTAGTTCACTACAGCTCTGAATTTGATTTATTCCTGTCCCTTATCTACAAATTTATATTATCTGCTTGGTCCCTATGGGTATCTGAATTTGGAACCTCTGGAATACATTGTACAGCAGGTTCAGAAGAATGCATAATAATGTATAAGCTCCCTGAGTCGTCTGTCAACATTATAGAAATCACAGAAAACTTACTTGGATTCCAAGTAATTTGAGTCTTTCTTCTTCCAGGTGGCAGAGATATAATCTTAGAACAAAGACTTAAAATAGAAATTACTTGGAATCTAGAAAAATAGAAAAAAAGTACATTTTGTGCACACATGAGTTTGTGGACTATAATTTAATTCTACTATTTCACTATCCTGCCGAAGTATGCACCAGGGTGTGTTCTTAAATAAAAGCTTCAGAGTCAGGAAAAAGAGAGATGAAATTAAAAATGAGAAAGTATTGGGAAAGCAAGAAAGGAGGGGTAGGTCAAGAGAAGAGTGAGTTTTCATATATCTACTCTCATTTGGGGAAAATAGTTAAGGTTTGTGTGTGGGGTCATCTGGTATCGGTCAAGATTCTTGCTTCACCATTTTCTACCTAGGCAAACTTGGCTTAATCATTTGACTCACTGAGCTCAATTTTCTAATTTGTAATGTAAGGGTAGTAATACGTTTTTATTCCCACAGGTTGTTGTTCCTACAGGGAATAAGGACCTTGAAAGAGCCTTGAAAAAGTGAAAAGGCTTTACTGTGGGAATTAATATTATCCAGTAGCTAGGTTTTAGTAAATACTTAATAATTCCTGTTAGAGAAAAAGAAATTAAGGGGAGAATAGAATTCCAATAATCATTTTAAATAACAAACCCTTTCTCTTGTCAAATCATTGTGATATATAATTGTCTTTTCAATTTTCCTAAAGTCATTGCTGCATTTTCAAATAGTTTGTTACACTGAAAACAATGGAATAGGACAACTTTTATTACCAGTAAATGAAAATCCCATTGATAATTAGCCTCATTGTAAAGATGGATTTTTTGATGTGTGGTCCCCTGAAGTTACTCAGAAAATGGTAATTCTGCATCACTAATCTTATGAGTATTGTCCCTAGTCTTGCAATCCTTGACCATTTAAAATTTCTCTTCAAAAATCACCCTATTGGACCATCTGACATATTTGTAAAGTGCCTACTACAACAGAGCAGCATACTAAATTACAAAATGAGAAAAATCCCCCAAAATACAATTTCTTATTATAATGCTCCTCTTACACTGCTCATATTTTGCAATGTTTACAATAACAGCAAGGTCTCAGGGTGCAGCTGAGTGGCTGTGTATTTTTAAGAATGTGAATTTCCCTCTAATTTTCTGTTACACCAATACAGTTTGTTCTGTCCCTTAACTAATTCCACAGAGCTTAGGGAGAATGGGGGGAGGTAATTCAGGAAGGAGAGAAAAATATTATCAGCCTGTTGTTCTTCTCTTCCTGCAATATAGTGTTCACTAATCAACAACCTCCTCTGTCTTGCATCAAAAACTGAGAATGGGCTCAACCCATTGAATATGGTGCCTTTTCACACCACCCTATAGGGATGAGAGAACTGTAAAGAAATCAGCAAGAGGGCTGCTTAGTGACTATTCATCACTGTAAACACTAGCATTGCATGACATTTGAAGTCCGAAAACTGTTTCTTTTTTCTCAATTAAGACTTCTTGTGGATCCCTTGTGATATTTTGCTGGACCTTAAAGTACTTCAAACCCTAGTTGAGATTCCATGGTATATAGGTAAAAAGTTTATCATGTCTGTTTTGTGTGTGTGTGTGTGTGTGTGTGTGTGCGCACCTGTGTTGTGTGTATGTATTTCAATCCTAGATTTTTCTTGTTTCCATTGAATATCTAATGGATGTTACTTAAGGGAGAGATGAACACATGGATTTGGTAAGTCTAAGGTCTGTTAGACTTACAACCAATTGTGAAAATGCAATTTTTTGAAACTTGCCTTAAATCTCTACCAAATTTTTATCAGGGCACACCCTGCCTTGATAGTTTGTGAAAGAAGGTATCTTGTTTTAGCCCACTGATATGATTTGGCTGTGTCCCCACCCAAATCTCATATGAATTATAGCTCTTGTAATTCCCATGTGTTGTGGGAAAGACCCAGTGGGAGATGATTCAATCATGGGGGCAGTTTACCCTATACTGTTCTCGTTGTAGTGAATAAGTCTCACAATATCTGATAATTTTGTAAGAGGAAATCCCTTTCACTTGGTTTTCATTCTGTCTTGTCTGCTGCCAGGTAAGCTGTGTCTTTCACCTTCTTCCATGATTCTGAGGTCTTCTCAGCCACATGGAACTGTGAATCCATTAAACCTCTTTTTCTTTATAAATTACCTAGTCTCAGAGATGTCTTTATCAGCAATGTGAAAACAGATTAATATAGTAAATTGGTATCAGTAGAGTGGGTGCTGCTGTAAAGATACTGAAAATGTGGAAGCGACTTTGGAACTGGGTAGCAGGCAAAGGTTGGAACAGTTTAGAGGGCTCAGGAGAAGACAGGAAGATGTGGGAAAGCTTGGAACTTCCTAGAGACTTGTTGAATGACCTTGACCAAAATGCTGACAATAATATGGACAATGAAATTCAGGCTGAGGTGGTCTCAGATGGAAATGAGAAACTTGTTGAGGACTGGGGCAAAAGTGACTCTTGCTATGTTTTAGCAAGAGACTGGCAGCATTTTGCCTCTGCCTTAGAGATTTGTGGAACTTTGAACTTGGGAGATATGATTTAGGGTATCTGGTGGAAGAAATTTCTAAGCAGCAAAGCATTCAAGAGGGGACTTGGGTGCTGTTAAAAGCATTAAGTTTTAGAAGGAAAACAGAGCATAAAAGTTTAAAAACTTTGCAGCCTGACAATATGATTTAAAAAAACTCATTTTCTGAGCAGAAATTTAATTCTGCTATAGAAATTTGCATATGTAACAAGGAGCCAAATAATAATAACCAAGACAATGGGGAAAATGTCTCCAGGACATGTCAGAAATCTTTGCTGCAGCCTCTTCCATCAGAGGCCTGGAGGCATAGGAGGAAAAAATGGTTTAGTGAGCAGGGCCTGGAACCCCACTGTTGTGTGCAGCCTAGAGACTTGGTGCCCTGCTTCCCAGCTGCTCTAGCCATGGCTAAAATGAGCCAAGGTACAGTTCAGGCTGTGGCTTCAGAGGGTGCAAGCCCCAAGCTTTGACAGCTTCCACATAGTGTTGAGCCTGCAGGTACACAGAAGTTAAGAATTGAGATTTGGGAACCTTTGCCTAGATTTTAGAGGATATAGAGAAATGCCTGGATGTCTAGGCAAATGTTTGCTGCAGGGGCAGGGCCCTCAGGGAGAATTTCTGCTATGGGCAGTACAGAAGGGAAATGTGGGGTTGGAGCCCCCACATAGAACCCCTAGTGGGGTACCACATAGTGGAGGTGTGAGAAGAGGGCCACTGTCCTCCAGACCTCAGAATGGTAGATCCACTGACAGCTTGCACTGTGTGCCAGGAAAAGCTGCAAATACTCAATGTCAGCCCATGAAAGAAGCCAGGAGAGGCATTATACTTTGCAAAGCCATAGGACAGAGTTCCCTAAGGATGTGAGAGCCCATCTCTTGCATTAGTGTGACCTGGATATGAGACATGGAGTCAAAGGAGATCATTTTGGAGCTCTAAGATTGGATTCTCCTCTGCATTTCAGACTTTCATGGGTCCTGTAGCCCATTAAAGTGTTTTAGCTAATTTCTCCCATTTGAAGTGGCTGTATTTACCCAATGCCTGTACCCCATTATATCTAGGAAGTAATCAACTTGATTTTGATTTTATAGGCTAATAGGCAGAACGCACTTTCTTTGTCTCAGATGCGACTTTGGACTGTGGACTTTTGAGTTAATGCTGAAATTAGTTAAAACTTTGGGTTAATACTGTGAAGCCAGTGCACACAGATGAACCACTGGAAAAACCAGTTGGGAAGGTATGATTGATTTTGAAATGTGAGAACATAAGATATGGGAGGGTCCAGGGGCAGAATGTTATGGTTTAGTTGTGTCCCTGCCCAAATCTCATCTTGAATTGTAGCTCCCGTAATTCCCACATGTTTTGGGAAGGAGCCAGTGGGAGATAATTGAATCATCAGGGCAGTTTCCTTCATAATGTTCTCATGGTAGTGAATAAGTCTCAGGGGATCTGTTGCTTTTTATAAGGGGAAACACCTTTCACTTGGTTTTCATTTTTACTTGTCTGCTACCATGTAAGACATATCTTTCCCTTTCCACCATGATTGTGAGGCCTCCCCTGCCACATGAAACTGTGAGTCAATTAAATCTCTTTTTCTTTATAAATTACCCAATCTCAGGTATGTCTTTATCAGCAGTGCGAAAATGGACTAACACACCAATAATCCAGGGTCAGTGACTGTAGGGTTACTGACCATATGGCCATTCTGTAGATTTTGGTTGGGAAACCTGACACAGCATTTCCAAGTACACATTGTTGGCCGATCTAGTGGCCTCTCTCTCTCTCTCTGTCTCTCTCTCTCTCTCCCTTCTCTCTCTCTCTCTCTCTCTCTCTCTCTCTCTCTCTCTCTCTCTCTCTGTTATCTCTATCTCCATCTCTGTTTCTTGGGTTTGTTTTTGTCAGAACCACATAGTCCTCCTGAGAGAACTTCTTATAGCAAATTTCACTATAATCTAATCTCTTGCATTTCCTTGGTATAATAGCAAAATTTAGACTAAGAATAACAATGATTATTACAAGGAATTTCTGACAAGTCAAAATTAATAAATTCGCACATTTAACTAGCACTACAGAAAAATCAAGAAACAAAACATCAAGGATTTAATAGGCTGCTGAGTACTAAGCCCCCACAGCCAAATTCCAGCTTCAAGATAGAGTATCTCAAAGCCTATAGCTTTCTGAAACCTATCCTCTTGCATCTCTTTCCTCTTGCATTTATCCACATAAACACTGACTTTTAAAATTAGCCATCCTTTCCTTCTTCACGGTATTCTCAGGATAAGAACAAATCACATTGTAAAATTGCTAGGTCAGAGGCAGGGGCATAGAGATGAATCAAATATAGAAACACATACTATAATTAAAGATCTTTCTGAATCTCAGGAAATTTATGGAAATTTGCTGTAAAATCATAATTTTAAAAGACATGTTGTTCTATATTATAGAACTATACTATACTGTTGGTAGCCCCTCAATTATAGTATAGTATGAAAGGGAAAATTTGAATAAACCAGCTGTGTAAAACTTTCTAAAAGTTACCTTGACAGAGCAAGAAAACAAAAAATCTCTGAATATGGTAATTTCAGATGCATCTTTTAAGAGTAGATTGGGAAAAGCATCAAGATTTTAAACAAAATAAAGACTTAAAAAACAGTCATCAAACAGTATTCTGGAGAAGATCCTTGGCTAAAATAAAAAGAGGCTTGTCTTCTATTTTTGTAAACTGTCTAAAACCTTAATTAAGGATTTAATTAAAAAATAAATTAAAATGTAAAATTGCCAGTGTAAAAAATGTTCAATATGCCAGTAGACATTTTTAGGAAAATAATCAGTCCCACTGATGACTTTCTAGATAAATCAAGTGGCTCTTGAAATTAAAAAGTCAAAAACAAAAGTAATAAACAAAGAGGTCCTCTGTTATCTTTGAATTAGAAGCATATAGATGAGGAAGGATATTGCAAAACTAGTGCGGACAGATGAACCATTGAAAAAAACAATGTCCCCATATTGACTAAGAAACAGAACAAGAACCAAAATCTCTCCAGTGATGTGGCTCCAGAAGAAAAACTATCACTCCATTCCTTGTTTTCACTTCCAATTAAGGAATGGGAGTTGCAGAATTTGAAGTGACCATTGACATTTTTTCCCTCACTTTGGCTGACATATTAAATAATACAACCTAAACTTAGAGAAATACAATATAGTTTTCATTTCTAGTTCAAGTAGTTATGGATAATAGAATAGGATTAGATTTTATTTTTGCCAAACACAAAGGAGTTTGTACCATTGCTAATATTTCTTATGGTACCTGGAATTAACACTGTAGGTGAGGTATAACAATCTATATTTAAATTGGTGAGAAAGTCAACCTGGCTATTTAAGATAAACAAAGGGAGTTATTGGGACATATTTTTCTTATAAGGTCACCTGCCATGTTTCTTTTATCTTGCTTATGAAATATCTTCTAGTCCCATCTGATAGTACCTTTAGTTAGACTTTGATATGGGTTGGCTGTGTTCCCAACCAAAATCTCATCTTGAATTCCCACATGTTTTGGGAGGAACCTGGTGGGAGGTAATTGAATCATGGGGCCAAGTCTTTCCCATGCTGTTCTTATGATAGTGAATGAGTCTCACGAGATCTGATGGTTTTACAAAGAGGAGTTCCCCTGCACAAGTTCACTCTCTTTGTCTGCTGCCATCCATGTAAGATGTGACCTACTCCTCCTTTCCTTCCACCATGAGTTTGAGACCTATCCAGCCATGTAAAACTATAAGTCCATTAAAATTCTTTCTTGTGTAAATTGCCCAGTCTTGGGTGTGTCCTTATCAGCATCCTGAGAACAGACTAATATAGTAAATTGGTACCAGGAGTAGGGCGCTACTGAAAAAATACCCAAAAATGTGGAAGCAACTTTGGAACTAGCTAACAAGAAGAGGTTGGAATAGGTTAGGGGGCTCATAAGAAGACAGGAAAATGTGGGAAAGTTTGGAACCTCCTAGAGACTTGTTGAATGGCTTTGCCCAAAATGCTGGCAGTGATATAGAAAATAAAGTCCAGGCTGAGGTGGTCTCAGATGGAGATGAAGAACTTGTTGGGAACTGGGACAAAGGTTATTCTTGTTATGTTTTAGCAAAGAGACTGGTGGCATTTTGCCCCTGCCCTAGAGATTTGTGGAACTTTGAACTTGAGAGAGATGATGTAGGGTAGCTGGTGGAAGAAATTTCTTTCTTTCTTTTTTCTTTTTGAGAAGGAAAGAAAGAAAAAAAAAGGAGTGAAGGAAAGGAAGAAAGAGGAAGAAAAAGAGGGAGAGAGAATGGGAATATTGCTTTATTCTAAAAATGGGTATTAATAATGGCAGATCAATATTTTGTGTATTTAAAGTGGAGAATGTATATTTTGTGTATTTAGAGTGGAGAGCTCTATAAATATTTATTAAGTTTACTTGTTCCAGATCTGATTTCAAGTCCTGGATATCCTTATTAATTTTCTGTCTCTTTGAATCTAAATCTCTTTATGGGTCTTACGTATCTGGGTGTTAGGATAGTTAGCTCTTATTGTTGTGTTGATCCTTTTACTGCTTTATCTTTGTTGCTTTAAAATCTATTTTATCAGATGCAAGAATTGCAACTCCTGCTTTTTATTTATTTATTTTTGCTCTCCATTTGGTTGGTAAATCTTTCTCCACCCCGTTGTTTTGAGTCTTTGTGTATCTTTGGATGTGAAATGGGTCTGCATGTAGCATACCGTTAGGTTTTGGCTGTATCTTTTGATTGGGGGATTTAGTCGATTTAAATTTAGGGCTACTGCCATTTGATGTTAACTGGAGGGAAGAAGACCCCAGATTTTCCTTATAATGGGTACAAAATGGTCAATCAAATGTAAATTGCAGTGTCTTTACTACAAACAGCATTGGCATTTATAACTGTATTAAAAAAGCATAATAGCAACAAATAAAATATAACAACAAAAGCATGAAGTTTTATTTTCCCTTAAAAAGAACCAACAATGGAAAATCTACAGAGAGTTAGAGGTCCAACAATGGCAGGTGGGGATGAAAGACTAAAAGGAAAAACACAACCATAATACAGTGCTTGCTTATGTAATGCTATGCCCAAACCCGTACCCAACAGGTGTGGGGGCTGAAAAGCAGTGTTGTTTCAAAGCCCTTTGTCATATATTATCCCCTTTGGCTCCTAACACCTTGTAAAATAGGTCACGCGGATAATATTTCAACTGAAGAATTAAACTTTGATGTACTGAAAACCACAAAACTAAGATTTACTGGTGTTATAATGGGTAAGACGAGGCTATGGTGTCAGATATAGCTTGAATTCCCACTTCTACTATCAACTATTTATTAGACTTGGAGCTCCCGTATGGCCCGTTCCCTCATCTGTAAAATGAGAACAATGAGTACTTTCTGCATGTTTCCCTCTCCCTCCTCCAAAAGTTCTGCACATTTTTCACTGAGTTCCCAGAAGTTTAATTTGGTTAGACCCAATATAAACCTTGCTTTGATCTTTTCTTAGAATTTAAGCCTCCAACTTAAAGTGTTCTCTCCTACTACAAGGTGTGAAGCACCAATTGGTCCCTTGCCAGTTGCCAATGTTCCAGCTGTCAGCCACCCCACCAAGTGCCCTTGCAGATGACCCAGTGCATATCCACGTGACAGGCCTGCCCCCATCCCAGGTGGTGACTCTGAAGGCCTTGCTGAAGGATGAGAAGGGGAATCTGTTCCAGTCCATGGCCTTCTACAGGGCTAATGAGGTTGGTGAGGTGGACCTGGAGCAGGCTCCTGCATTTGGAGGTGACTACACGGGGGTACATCCAATGGGCCTCTTCTGGTCTCTGAAGCCTGAGAGGTCTTTCCCGAGCCTGCTCCAGCAGAATGTGATGAACAGCCCCTTTTGGGTTACGCTGGACCTATATGACTCTATTTGTTTTCAAGATTCAGCCACTGTTCAGCCCAAGGCTAGCCAGACTGTGCAGCACTGGTTCTCAGTCTCTGGGGTGCAGAGGAAGCAGATCAGAGAAGGTCGAGTGCGAGGGGCCCTTTTTCTCCCTCCAGGTGAAACTAATCTTTGGTGATAGAGAAAGCAGTGTTAATGTGTACTGGTTTGTTTTCACACTGCTGATAAAGACATACCCGAACCTGGGAACAAAAGGACATTTAATTGGTCTTACAGTTCCACATGGCTGGGGAGGTCTCATAATCATGGCCGTGGGCAAAAAGCACTTCTTACATGGCAGCAACAAGACAGAATGAGGAAGAAGAAAAAGCAGAAACCCCTGATAAACCCATCAGATCTCACGAGACTTATTCACTGTCACGAGAATAGCACGGGAAAGACCAGCCCCCATGATTCACTTACCTCCCCCTGGGTCCCTCCCACAACGCATGGGAATTCTGGGAGATACATTCAAGTGGAGGTTTGGCGGGGGACGCAGCCAAACCATATCATAATGGAAATAAAACCAATAAAAAAGTATCAGATTATTAGAGCGCTAGTATTTTTTATAAACTTTAAAAATTAATGTGCGTGTGTGTGTGTGTGTGTGTAATTAATTTTGCTCACCTTGTATTTTTACAGCTATTTGACCCTTTTTTCACTCTTTCTGATCTTACTTTCTTTTCTCTCTGCACTCTCAGGGGAAGGCCCTTTCCCAGGAGTAATTGATTTGTTTGGGGGTATTGGGGGCCTAATAGAATTTCAGGTCAGTCTTTTGGCTTCTGGTGGTTTTGCAGTGCTGGCATTAGCATATTTTGCCTACGAAGACCTGCCTGACAAACTGCAGGAAGTGGACTTGTAATATTTTGAGGAAGCTGCCAACTTGCTACTAGCTCATCCCAAGGTATTTAAAATACTTTCCATTTTACCTTGCAACATTACACATACACACACACAAAGTCACCAATGTCTGCTCTGTTCTACCAACTTGTGCAGACTTGGAGACAGCACCGCTGACAGTTACATGGAGATATAATAGCTGCCTTGTAAGTTGAGTTGATTTGTGATCACTTTTGTGATTATTGGCACATAGAAGACAATAGATAAGTGTTGGACATAATACAATTATTTTTTAGTAGGAAAAAAAACCAAGAAATCTTTAATTTGAAGTGCTTGTAACTTTTTCATAAGTGGCTCTTCAATGCTTTACTGTCACTCATCTCAAATCATGAATTCCGTCGCTTGACAGGTTTTCAAACTTCAGTGATTATCTCTGCAGGGGAATAATGCTGTAATAAGTAACACTGAAGAGTCCTGAAACTAGAACAATGCAGAAGTTCAATACTAAACCCGAGGTACAAGATCAGGTCAGGAGTATTGGCAAAACTGATTTGACTGCATCATCTGCCTAGCTGAATTAGCTCTTTAGTTAGTTTCAGAGCTAGGGGCAGAGTGAAGCATAGAGTAAGTGTCCAATGCCATGAGCCAGGCTAGAGAAAGGAATCTGAAAAGGAAGGGTCATTTTAGCACTCTTTGTCAAGTGTGTCCTTCTACTACTGAAAATGTAGTTCATGGACCAGTGGCCACAGCATTATCTGGAAGCCTTCAGAAATGCAGAATCTCATTTTTCATCCCTGAATCAGCATACTGCATATTAAAAAATCCCCAGGTGATTCTTAAGCACATTAATGATTGAGAAGGACTGGAATAGTACACTAACCTAGCTTCTTCTAAGAGTTAAATATCAGTTGAACTAGGATCTCGTTCTCTTGAGGAGTTCCAAAGTACTAATATTTGTGCTAATGATTAAAAAGAGAAACCCAGAAATAGATATCACAATATCAAGTATCAAGGTTGGTATTCCACTGAGTTTAACTTATTGTTTTGCAAACCACAATGTTCAAATATTAGACATATCTTATGGATCAACTTAATAATGGTAAAACATTACTGGCTTACATTGGTTGAGTGACTATTTGTTAGACTCTAGGAAAGATATTTTATATGCAGTCTCATGTAACATTCACAATAGCCTTATGAAGTACTATCAACAGCAACCTCATTTTTCAGATGAGGAAGCATATTTAAAGTAATGTGTCAAAACTACATAGCCAGTAAGTGACGGAGAAAATCTGATCATGTCTTTGCTCCAAACCATTAAATTATCTTTGAGTTCCCCAAATGTTTCATTCTCTTCCACCCCAACCCTGAAGAGCCTTGACTCTTCTCAAGGAGAAATAGGATATGTTTCCTATTCGAATATTATCAAGATCTTCATCTTTAGTGTTGAGAAAACATGTAATTTTTCTAAGCTTATTTGAGTGTTTTTAAAAGATTGCCTAAAAAGAATTAACTACCAACTAAAATGTTTTCAAATTATTATTTTTTTATTTCTCATGTAACTATTTGTGACATTAGCCTGAGGAAAATAAGTCAACTGCAAAAATTCAACTTAGATTCAGAAGATAAGCTTCAATTTCTACCTCTGCCTTTTGATAATGTTGTGGCCTTAAGCAAATCTTTTAAGTTTCTTGAATCCAGTTTGGCTATTGGAAAGACCAACTGAGATACTGTGTATATATCACTTAGCATACAGTAAACTCTCAAAAAATCCACTGTTATCTTTGCCCATCTATTTTCTTCCCTCTCCTCCCAAGTCTTCAACCAATCACCAAGTGTTTTAAGTTCTACTCCGGTCTTTCTCAATACATCACACCCTCTTCGTCCTCCTCGACATTGTTTTAGCCCACTTATCAATTCCTACTTCCAGATACAGCCGTCCTCCTTCACTCTCTATTCATCAATAACACGGATGGTTCCCGATTTTCTTGGGGGACATTTTACACTATCAGATTCCTGGGCCCACTCATACCTATGGAACAGACACTCAAAAAAATTGAATTTCAGAAAGCTCAAATTAAATAAATAAGGATGATTCTAATGACAGGAAGTGCTGGGGATAAAATTGTGAACAAAATAAGCAAAGTAGGTCTTTAAGGACTTGCTGTTGTTTGTCCAGACTGCCCTTCCTTTACTCCTTCATCTTTGAGACCTCTCATGGCCCTTCCGCTCCCTCAGTCTACAAGAGAATTAATGATCCGCGTCTATGAGCTACTACCTTTTCCTCTTGGGCTAGGTACTACAATTCAATTATTTATTGATTATACTCTCATTGCTTTCAAAATTAGCTGTTGAATTTATGGAGGTAACAAATACATGGGCAAAACCTTCGTAGCTATAAAATGCTATTTAAATGTGAATTCCACTTACATAATATTTAAGAGAACCTGGGAAACACCTTTTTATTTTCTGGCTAGAGACAATTTTGCCCTTCAGAATGCTTACCTGGCTCTGTTCTTGCACTGTCAAGTATCACTGGTGCATTAGACTCTTTTTGCCTTTACAAAACTGTGCAATTGATGAAGAGTGTTTATTTCTATTGTTTCACTGGATCCTCATAACATCCTTGAAAGGTCAGTAATAGTATCAGCCCTACAAGACAATAAAACTTAGAGAGGGTAAGTGGGTAATGTTCTCAGTCCCAGAAACTGGTAAACGTGGATGCCAGGTCTCGACCTCCTTTGACTCTTTCTATCATACTTATTTGTTGGCATGCCTGAGACAGCTATTTCTCAGCTTGTGACCTGTAACAGATTTCCCTTTTTTTTGTGCTTCAGATCCAAAGCCCAGGGATTGGAGTGATCTCCGTGTGCAAAGGTGCCGAGATTGGCTTGGCTATGGCATGCTACCTAAAGCAGGTGGTGGCCACCGTCTGCATTAACGGGACCAACGCCAGCTTTGAAATTCCACTCAGATACGGTGATCTGGTTGTGACACCCATTCACTCAGCTCAGGAGCGCCTGCAGGTCCACGTCTCTGGAGCTGTGCGCATCCGCCACTCTAAGGGGGACCCCCGAGATGAGCTCCATCAGCAGAGCGTGCTTCCTATTGAAAAGGCCAGGGGTCGGATTCTTTTCATCGTCGGAGAGAGTGACGAATGCCTGGATAGCAAAGCGTACGCTGAGCAGGCCGTGGACCAGCTGCGGAGCCACGGCAGAAGCAGCGGGAGGATGCTGGCTTATCCCCGGGCAGGCCACCTCCTAGAGCCTCCCTATGCTCCCTTGTGTTTCGCGTCCTGGAACCCGGGCATTTCAAGGCCCTTGCTTTGGGGAGGAGACCCTGCTGCTCATGCGGCAGCCCAGGAGCACGCCTGGGGGGAGATCCAGAAATTCTTCAGGCAACACCTCAATAAGACCAGAAGCAAACTCTGAGCAAGGGCTGAGTGATGATGGGGTGGGCAGAGGCTGGAGTGAGGGTGGGAGGATGATGAGGATGAGGCGAGAACGAGGTGGGGTGAGGGGATTCTCCTAGTTTGGCTAGATCCACAGTCATCTTGAATCAACTGGAAGGAGGTAAGACAAAAATCAAAGGACTGGGCACACATTCATAGGAAGTATTTCTCATAAATTTGTACGTGTTACAAATTTTTGTAAATTGAATTCTACTTTATACAAACTAAGGCACATTATTATTTCAAAATAGTGATACCCTTGCAAACTGTTTTATTGTTTTTGTTGTTGAGACAGAGCCACGTTCTTTCACTCAGACTTGAGTGCAGTGGTGAGATCATGGCTCACAGCAGTTTCGAACTCCCAGGCTCAAGCTATCCTCCCAGCCTCCTGAGTCACCGGGACTGCAGGTGTGTATCACCAAGCCTGGCTAATTTTTTTTTTTTTTTTTGAAGAGACAGGATCTTGTTAAGTTGCCCACACTGATGTTGAACTCCTGACCTCAAGCAATCGCCTTGTCTCTGCCTCCTAAAGTTCTGAGATTAAAGGCATGAGCCACTACACCTGGCCCCTTGCAAATGGAATATCTTTTATACCCCGGTTAGCAATAACTTGAGCCAGGCATTGCCAATCTAGATAAATTCCCTAGAACCTCCCAGTTACTGACAGAAATACATTTTCTGTTTATACTATTTTGAATTGTATTTCAGACTCTTTTTATAATTTTATAATTGTATTTCAGACTCAATTTATAATGCTTGCTATAGATTTCCAGTAGATTCTTAATTTTTTTTTGGAATAGTGATGCTTCTATTTATTCCTAAAACATAATATTTACCATTTTAATAAAATAGGATTTTATCAAATGCCTTTGTGGTATTCATTAAAATTAAATGAGTTGATATTTTTAAAGCTGTTAGAACAGTGCCTGGCACATAGCAATTACTATTCTGGAGTTAGCCATTATTATTTTCTTAAAGCTTTCCTTCTCAAGTCTGTTAGTGAAGTGAATTACATTTATTAATTGACTCATTTTTCTTATGTATCTAATTTTAATAGATGAGTTTCTCATATTGATTAATGTGGGTTCTAAAACTTGTTTTAGAGCCAATGTGGTCATTTATATTTTTTCAGAATTGCACCCATGTTTTCTAGAATACATTTTTCTCTTATAATTTTTGACATGGCCCCTATTTATATATGTGTTTTCTTTTTCTTCTTGGCCTGATTTGCCAAATATTTCTCTTTTATTGATCTTTTCCAGGGACAGTTTTTGGTTTATTTGTTGGTCAAATTGTTTTTTAACTCGTTGAGTTCTGATTTTTAGAAATAAATTATTTTCTGCTGCCACTTTTGTATTTTTCTGGCTTTGTGATAGACAGTGCTCTCATTTCCTTAATTTCTTAAAAAGTTCTAATTTACTTTTTGTTCCACTTAAACCCAAGACTTATTTTGCAAAAGTACAAAGCATTATCCTGTAAATAATTTGTCATTACTAGGAGGTGGGGAGAAATGTTACTTTGCAATGAAGGAATCAGATTATTACAACCTGAACTCAAGGCTTAAATTTAGCATCTGTAAAAGGGGTCAGTGACATTATATGTTTCAGGATGGGATGTAATGTGGGGGACCCAGCACTGCTTAAAACTATTCCTGACAACAGTTTCAGGAATAGTAAAAGTAATCCTAGGAGGAGACTTGAGACTAACCAACCCTTTAATAATTAATTAATAATTACTATGGTATCTGGAAAACAAAGTAAATGGCCCTACAAGTTAACAAACTGATTATGGGTCATTCTATGGGACAACTGCCTTGCTTCTTCAAGTTAATCGCATGAAAAAAAGAAAGGCTGGAGTGGGCTGGGGCAATTCAGAACTAAAAGAGACTTGAGACTTGTCAACAAAATGCCATGTGTGGCCCTGGTTTGAATAAAGTAACTGTAAAAAGACATTTTGGGGATAATTTGAGAAATATGAATATGGACTGGATATTAAATGATACTAAGGAATTATCTCATTCAGTGCAATAATACTATTGTGGTTATATTTAAAAATCACTATTTAGAGATCCATTCTGACATATTTAGCATAATAAAGTGATATTTGGTAATTTAAAATACTATGGGAATATGGCAAAATGTGAATAAGTATTAAGTTTAGATGATGGGTATAGTCAAGTTTGTTATATTATGCTCCCTATTTTTATGTGTGATTGCAATTTTTCACAATGAAAAGTTAAAAAAAGGAATATAATCAAGATATTTACCTTTCTGCTCCAGAAGACAAGAATATGAGTATGTATGACATCTTCTTCTCCACGGCATTCCTCATTAGTTTCGGGTTTTTTAAAACAATAATAACTATGCTTTAGTAACTTCCTTGCTCTTTTTATTTACAGCAATAACTGTGGCATTCTCGCTCCTTCTTACAATTCATTTTTTAAACATTCTTGGCTTTACTTTTGCCATTTGTTCAAAGTACAAGCTATTTAAAAGATTCACATCCATTTGAAGCTTAGCATATCTGAAAATGTCTATATTTTGCTCTGACATGTTAATTGTAATTTTTATAGATAAAGAATTTGATGTTAATAATTATTTTCCTTCAATACTTTGGGTTTTTTTTTTTGTTTGTTTTGGGACAATTTTTGTCAAACATAAGTTGATTCCCATTATTTTGTGGGATTTTTTCCTTCTCTCTCTCTGGAAGCTTTTTACCATTTTCTCTTTGTTCTGAAACTTCATTAAGATATGAATAAGGGCAGGTTTATTAGTACCCTTTAAATTTATTTATGGCCCATTTTAAACTGAAAACTTGTTTCAATGTTGTAGTTAGAATATATGGCGCCCCCACAATTCCAGGTGTTGAAACTTAATGTAATGTTTATACTACTACATCACATTAAATTTCAACACCTGAAATTGGGAGGGGAGCTATACAAGGTAATAGTATTAACAGCTGAGGCTTTTGAGAAGCGAGGCCTCCTCCCGTGTGGATGAGATTAGGGTTCTTAATAAAAAGAGGCTTCACGGAGCATTTGGGTGTTTTGCTTTCTGCAACACGAAGATATAGTATTGCTCCCCATGAGGACTCAGCAACAAGGCACCATCTTAGAAACAGAGCAGCTCTCACCAGACGACTGAACCTGCTGGCACCTGGATTTGGACTCCTAGTCTCTAGAACTGTGAGAAATATTTTTCCCTGTTTTATAAAGTACCCGGTTGTATGTATTCTGTTATAGCAGCACAAACGGCCTAAGACAATCTGTCTTCAGCTTTAGGACATTTGCTTCTGTTAATTATCTGTCCACTTCACCTTTTCTATTTTTCTGTTCCTTCCTTGGAACTCCTATTAAGAGGATTTTGGAGCTTCTGACTCATGCTCCGTAAATGTTAAGTTTTTCTCCCTTTGCTCTGTACTTTCCCCTCATGCATTCTTGGAGAATTTTACGGTTTAACTATTCAACCCACTAACTTGTTCTTAAATTATATCTAATCAATTTAGTTAACCTCTTGGGTTTTATTTTGATGATCATTATTTTTAATTTTCATGATCCATAATTATATCTGATTCTTAAAATCTGTTCTTATAGATATGTCATCTTTTCTTATTCCTCCTTTTACCCATGGCTTTCATGAATACATCCAGGTTCTATTGTGAGTACTGTCATTATATTTAAAAAACGAATGAACTGGAGTCCCCTTATTGGGATCAGCACCACCTAGGTCTTACTTTTCAGGGATCTGATTTCAGCCGAATAAAGACGTGTTTTTTTCAGCTTTCTTCTTTGCAAGATGCTGTTGGGATCTTGGCTCCTAGCTCTGCCTTGTGGGCTTAATTTTACCAAATGTACAGAAATGAGTTTTCAAGGTTGTCATACTTAACTTAAATCTCTCAAATGGTGAATTAATTCCACAAGTGGTGACTAGTTATTAGTTATCCCTAGTTATGAACCTCACTGGGCCAAGCCCCTGAACCAGGGAAAGCCTTACCAGACAATGGGCAGCTGTGGCGGAGCTGCGCCTGCTCACCTGCACGCTTAAACCCCACAGCTGCTGACAAACAACAACAAAAAAAACGGCAAAATGAGAAAACACCTGACTGCAAGGTCCCTATAAAGGCAGAGAGAAACTTTTGGCTGTGAAGAGGGGGAATTAAAAGAACAGATTTTGTCCAGAACTACATGTAACAAGTCTGTGTGACTTTAGTGAGTCTAGATTTATCCAATCCTGAAATACTAAAAAACATCACTTGAAATTGAAAAAAAACTTTTTTCCTTACAGGACAATTCAGTAGAGAAATTACTTTGTGTAACAACATTAAACATCATCCCAAAGGAAGAGTTGTTCTCTGTTCCAAAGAACTTGAAGTAAATTGATAGATGGACGTTCCATTAAGGTTAATAGGGAAATGTGAGCACATCTCACATCTTTCTTTTAAAGAGAAAGAGAATGGCTTTGAGGAAAAGAGTTTTACCCTCACTCTCCCCTCCGCTGATCGCATGGGTTTACTTGGCTTCTTGGAAAGTCACACAATGTTGCTTTTTATAGATGCTGACACACAGGATACCAAAACGAAAAGCCAGGGTGAGGACAGAGGCACTAGTTTTGGGAAGTGCAAAAGTTAATTTTCCTGGCAGAGTCATTTCTAGTGTTAGAAGTATGTGTGGTGTCACCTGGGTTTCCGTGAGAAGTAAAACTGTTAGGGCTCAATGGGCTAGAGAGTAAATCCAAATTCAATTTATTTTCTTTTCCAGCTTTTCGTCTATCACCAGGCTCCTATGAGTTGGGGGAGTCAGATTTGGAAAAGTATTCTCTAGGAAGAAAGGGTTTATTGAAAGCTATGATCCCACCACATACAATCGGGTCTCAAACTCTGTGGAGTCTGCCTCCTGGATACGTTTCATGTCTTTCCAACCCATGTTCTCTTTGTCATTACTGCCCCTACCCTATGTCCATCATAATGTTGTTTAGCCCAACACAATACCCTCTTTTTTTTTGAGACGGAATTTCGCTCTTGTTACCCAGGCTGGAGTGCAATGGCGTGATCTCGGCTCACCGCAACCTCCGCCTCCTGGATTCAGGCAATTCTCCTGCCTCAGCCTCCTGAGTAGCTGGGATTACAGGCATGCACCACCATGCCCAGCTAATTTTTTGTATTTTTAGTAGAGACGGGGTTTCACCATGTTGACCAGGATGGTCTCGATCTCTTGATCTCGTGATCCACCGGCCTCGGCCTCCCAAAGTGTTGGGATTACAGGCATGAGCCACCGCGCCCAGCCGCCCACAATACCCTCTTAATTGATCATCTCACTTCTCTTGATTTTCTTCAGCTCATTCTACACACAGATGTAGCCCAGATGGACCCTTTAAAAATACAAATCTGAGGATGCCATTCTCCTGTTTACTGAAGGCTTCCTGTCCACTGAGGGCTTCTTACCACTTTAGGATAATTTCAGAGTCTATAACAAATCCTCCAAGATCTCTGATATTCAGTATCATTAAATGTCTCTTCCCCATTCACTCCACCAGCGGATCTTTAGTTCTTCCCATGTATAAAGCTCTCTCCTGCCGTAGGGCTTTTGTACGTGCTATTCCCTTGGTCTCATATGCTTTCCCTTATGGTTTCTGTCTCATTACCTTCTTATTCTAAATAGATTACTTCTTTAGAGAAGCCTTACCTCATAACTCTGTCTTCCCTGTGTAAATCAGGAGTCCCTTAAAAACATTTAATTATATATTAAATATTTTATGTGTGTTCTCCTTTTCTTCCATGTGACTCTAAGCTTTGTAAGGGTAAGAAATAGGTCTGTTTATTTGGTTGTGTACCTCTAGTTCTTCACATGATCTTATCATATAATAGATGCTCCTTAAGTACTTATTGAATAAATGAATGCATGTATCAATCCTGGAACAATCTGAATTAAGAATGAGGATGTGAGCAAGAGATTTGATATTTATTACAAAATCCCTATAGTAGTATAGGGGATGATAGTAGATGGCATATAGTTCTAGTACATATCTTGAATTCAACAGAGTGGGAATAGTAGAATGACCATAATAAAATCTCCTTAAAACAAACTTGAGCAAGCTGGTATTTGGTGTGTTTATCTCGAAGATATTGAACACATTTGAGAGGTTCTGGCAGTTGGATGTAATAAGGAATCTAATCAGTTTTTTGAAACAAAAATGCCCCTTATGGTTCTTTCACTCTTTACATCATCCCAGTGATCCCTACTGTCTTGCATTGTGAGGATAGAATTTAGTCTGTTTGCATTCTCTGATTCAGTACAGATTACACAGTCTCTCCTGAAGGGCTATATATTCAGCTACACATAGCCCATCTGTCTATCACAGCCTGATAGGGAGAGCTTTAGAACTTACTGAGAGAGGCACCCACATGTTTAGCTGGTAAGTGCAATTTCCTCACCCTTGTTAGTCCTGCACCTAAATGTATTCATCTCTCAGCTATTTTCAGGTTCCACTAACATCCTCTTGATTACCAAATGAGTCACAGTCTCCCTTCAGCCAAGGTTGGAAGAAATCTGGCATCTATTCATGTATGACAGAAATATTAACTAAGTGATTTTTCTCTGTGCCATGTCATGTTCTTGGCACGGAATAAAAGAAAAATGAAAGACATCATAGATAAACAAGGGGGTAACAGCCTCATGAGGTTGCTTATGTCAGTACACCTGGCTAGCCTTTTTTTTTTTTATCATTTCCTTTTCAGCTTCCCTCTTCCAATGAGTCAGACTTCCTCATGCACCTGTGGGCTTTCCTTAAAAAGAGAAAAGTTTACTACAGAATTCATTCTCTGAGGCTACAGTCACCACTTGTTCTATTTGGACAGAGGGCTTTGTCCTTGGCAGAAGACACACATGGAGGAGTCTCTAGCCTGAAGGATTTCAAAGGACAATTTGAAAGATCAGTGTGAGGCCTGTGAAGTGTCTTGGGGCTAAATAGGAAGCAACGCTAAAGTTGCCATGCCATAGTAAGGAGTCAGACTGGCTCAGGGATTCCAGGGGTGTGAGTCCAGAGTTGCCCCTTAGCTCCAAGTACACAAGGGTGGTGTCTTGGCATGGTTCAGTCATGCACCAACATCTCCCAAGTCCAAGGCCAGGAAAATGGAGTTTGTGGCCAAAGCTCCTAGAATACTACAGATAGGTCCCTTTAAAATCAAAACTAGAGGCTGGGCATAGTGGCTCAGGCCTGTAATCCCAGCACTTTGGGAGGCTGAGGCAGGCTGATCATGAGGTCAGGAGTTCAAGACCAGCCTGACCAATATGGTGAAACCCTGCCTCTGCTAAAAACACAAACATTAGCCGGGTATGGTGGTACATGCCTGTAGTCCCAGCTACTTGGGAGGCTGAGGCAGAATTGCTTGAACCTGGGTGGTGAAGGTTGCAGTGAGCTGAGATCATGCTACTGCATTTCTGCCTGGGAAACAGAGCAAGACTTTGTCTCGAAAAAACCCAAAAAACAACATTGTAAAAAAAAAAAATCAAAACTAGAAAGAAGAGTAGAAAGATAACATGACTCACTCTGCCAACTTATGTTCTTAAAATGCTATTTGGTAGCCAGATTTACTGTGACAA